ATATAATTATGAATTTATTATTTAAATTGTGTTTAACTTTGTGCCCTAGAGCTTTGAGTTGAGGATTTGAGAAAGCCTCAGTGGTTACTGGGTTCATGATATAAATGAGTACATGTTTGGAGTTGATACATGGTACAGAGGGAACATACTAATAATGAACTCATGATAACATCCTTTGACAATTTTGTGATACAGGCAAGTTCCATTCCTTGTCTTGTATGTAATGATCATGAATGGATGGTGGCAGCATTTCGTCTTCTACTATCTACTCTTCTACTTCTACTATCTACTCTTCTCCTTCTACCTATCTACACCTCTCCCTCCACCCCTCTCTAAACTCTCACTTTCAACTAATGACCCTCCTCGCCCCTCCTACCTCCCTCCCTCTCACCCCCAAGCCCTCACTAATTACTTCACTATTCATTTCTTTCCTTTCGTTTCCTCTTATACGTTTGTGGCAATGATTTTGTATTCTAGAGTTCTCTCTAGAGTTTCGGGTAACTGATCAAGTGACGGCGCCTTGTAGTCTTAGCACCTAGGTAGTCGAATACCTAGGTTACAAGGTGTTGAACGAGAGAGGTTGCCTTAGGAACTCTGGAGGTGCTCTAGAATAGTTAGCTAACTGGGGACGGGATAACGGACTAGAGAGAGCTGTTTCCCCCGGCCTCGTTAGTTAACTGGGGGGTGGAATAATGGACAAGATAGAGCTATTTCCCCCACCCCCCGTTACAATGTTGGCAGCGGTGTTGAACAATGTTTAAGGTATTGGTGTTCTTTTAACATTGTTCAGTCCCACGTGTCTTTTTGCCGCTCAGGCGCTATCAGGGAGATCTTGACAGGTGTTTATTATTCGCGAGTTAGCGAACTTTTTTTCAGGTTAGGAGATAGTGATTCTCTGGTGTTGTGTTTAGTGATTTTGTGAGTTTTGTGTAGTTCAGGGAATGTTCACCAGAACTTGCGTGGGTAGTGATTTATGTTAGTGATAAGATTTGGCGATTTGGGAACTTAGCGGTGTTGGTAGTGCAGGTCAGCTGAGTGTGACAGGTGACCTCGCATGTCCCACGGGGACACCCAGCCACCGCTGGTCTCCAGGTCAGTGGGGAGTGGCAGGTGTAGTTTTTAAGTAGTGGTTCTGCTCAGATTATTGCGATTGACTGTTTTACTCCATTTGAACGCAATAACCCGAGGTGTACTGGTATTGTACAGCATGCTAGGGGGAGGCTTAGTATGTCAGTAGACTTCACGTTGGGGACGCTCGACGTTAGATAGTCTGGTCACAGGGGTGGCAACAGTTTTGAGTTGTTGACCGGCGGAGAAGCTAGGAAAACACTCTGGGTCACGTAGGTGGCTGTAGGTTAAGGGTGGGAGTAACGGTTAATTAAGTACTTAAGATTAGGAACGGTACAGTTAAGTTTAGGCTAGTGTTTTGTCTATTAGTGTTGATTTTTTTTTTTGTGTGACAAGTTAAAAGTAGTGATGACCTTATTCTCTCTTCTCTAACTTTACTCTGTTACTGTTTTATGTTCCACCAAGTCAATATCATTCAGAGTTAATTGGATTATTAAAATTTAAGTGTAGTTGTTGCCAGGAGGAGAGCTTATAATTGGACTGTGTGAACCCTATACAAACTACAGGGTCACACAACAAGATGGAACACGGGTATTGTTGCCTTTCTGTTCACCCACAGGTGGGAGCCAGAAGAGAGGAGAGACGCACATACAAAAGAGGGAGACGGCTGCTGTGTACCATACTCACGGGCGTTTATCACCACCACCACGACCAGCCCACTACCTGGAGGTCATGGCTCCACCACCACCACCACCCCAGGGGACCCCAAGATGCAGCCCTCTCGGTCGGTCAACATTGGACGGACCCCAGTGGACCCCAAGACGGACGGACCCCCAGTGGACCCCAGGTCGTTCTGCAGACGACCCCAGACGACCCAGTAATGATGGAAGAGGAGCAACAACGACTCCAGTCTGTCCCACCAACATCGGTCTACCCAGGATGGACCCCAGGACGGACAGACCCCCAATGGACCCCAGGTCGCTTGGCTAAGACCCATGGGAGGAGGAAGAGAGAAGAAAGAAGAGAGAAGAAAGAAGAAAGAAGAAGGAAGAGAGAAGAAAGAAGAAAGAAGAAAGAAGAAGATAAGACAAACTGAGTGAGACACGATGCCTAGTGTCCTTTGCTGGTGTCAGCATCATTGCATGGAGCGTAATTGCAAGACAGGATCGTTTGCCTTAACTGGCCGCCCCTCCTACTAGCATGTTGCTCTGTTGAGTGATTCTTCCTGTGTCATGCGGACTTGATGTGGCTGTCAGAAGTGGCTCTCTGAAGGAGGCGTGCTGGAGCAACAGGGAGGAAGAAGAGTAGGATGGGATTTCTACTGTTGGCAACTATATGAAGGTCTCGAAACTTGTAGTCCCTATAGCTGTGAAGAACCCCAATATACGTCTCTCATGGTGACTGACGTAGGGCCAATTACAGATCAGCTGGGACAACCGAATTCCACGGTCCTGTGCTCAGTTCAAGTAGTAACGGCTTTCGGGTTGACCAAGTGTTGTTGTGCGTTAACGACGGAGAAGCGACGGAGGCAGTTGTGTTGAAGAAATGTGCTACAGGATTATCTACAAGACCAAGCAGTGACGTCGCCCAGCCAGAGACAATGGACGTCTGTCTACATATTTCATTTTTTTAGAGTAGGATGATGTATATTTGTTTAGCTAGGATGTATTCTTTTCGTTAATAAAGTTGTCGCACACAGCTAGCTTGCTTTAGCAGTGTTGCAAAAACTTTATTTTCGGGGAGAAGGGGAGATGTAACACTGTAAAAGTGTTTGGTTTAGGTTAATATATATATAGAATATGAGTCACAGACAGGGATTTGGAAAGGCGCCAGTTGTCTGCCTGAGATCTCACACCTCAAGCGTTAATGACCTCAAGTGACCTGAGGTCAGATCATGAGAATTTCACCTTGCTTCCGCTAAGCTCTTAATTGTAGGCTGGTAGCCTTCAAACAAGCCGACGTTTAAGGAGTGGCTTGGTAGTGCCGGAGGCTATCTACTTGTGGGCGGAGTTAGCTACTAGGTTCCCCAATATAAACTCGGAGAGCTATCCACCAGAGAGCATTAACAGACAGAACGGGAGTCAGCAGAAGCAGAGAAGACAGCCCTACCAGGGAGGCTGTCGGCCGGCAGGGCGGGAGTCTCCGTCAACTACAAACCCCCCCCCCCTCTCTATTCAACTTAGACTCAGTCCTCGGTGAGTGAACATTAAGGTGACTTGGTCGTGTTTACATATGTTGTGTGATGATCAGGGGCAGTCAAGTTGTAGGGTTCTCGAATTCTTGGATGATGACTCTCTTTAACGTTTTAATTGGATTACTTATATTATGATACTTCATGTGAAATATAATTATGAATTTATTATTTAAATTGTGTTTAACTTTGTGCCCTAGAGCTTTGAGTTGAGGATTTGAGAAAGCCTCAGTGGTTACTGGGTTCATGATATAAATGAGTACATGTTTGGAGTTGATACATGGTACAGAGGGAACATACTAATAATGAACTCATGATAACATCCTTTGACAATTTTGTGATACAGGCAAGTTCCATTCCTTGTCTTGTATGTAATGATCATGAATGGATGGTGGCAGCATTTCGTCTTCTACTATCTACTCTTCTACTTCTACTATCTACTCTTCTCCTTCTACCTATCTACACCTCTCCCTCCACCCCTCTCTAAACTCTCACTTTCAACTAATGACCCTCCTCGCCCCTCCTACCTCCCTCCCTCTCACCCCCAAGCCCTCACTAATTACTTCACTATTCATTTCTTTCCTTTCGTTTCCCCTTATACGTTTGTGGCAGTGAATATGTATTCTAGAGTTCTCTCTAGAGTTTCGGGTAACTGATCCAGTTACGGCGCCTTGTAGTCTTAGCACCTAGGTAGTCGAATACCTAGGTTACAAGGTGTTGAACGAGAGAGGTTGCCTTAGGAACTCTGGAGGTGCTCTAGAATAGTTAGCTAACTGGGGACGGGATAACGGACTAGAGAGAGCTGTTTCCCCCGGCCTCGTTAGTTAACTGGGGGGGGTGGAATAATGGACAAGATAGAGCTATTTCCCCCACCCCCCGTTACATTACGCTGTACTCCCAACCATTCATAGCTGTGGTGCGCCGTCCCGCAATAGTTACTCACCCCAGCTACAGTATATATGTATTGTGCCCTTAAAGGGTTAAGGCAAGCTCCTCCCAGTGGTTAATAAGGAAGTCCTTGGTACACAGATATTCCTATCATTAGGCAATAAACAGATCATTATTTGTGTTATAATACCGACATTTTATTTCACTAATCACCATCTATTTCACTGATAATTATAATAATGAATAGATAATCGAAATTTTGTAAAAAAGGGACAAAAACACAGGGATTTGATTCAGTGAAAAGATTGGAATGTATTAACGTAGATTTGGTAAAAAGTTGGGAAAGTAGGTAGGTGGATAGGTAGGCTAGGGAATACACAAGGAGGTAGGTGGATAGAATGGGAGGTTTAAGTGGGCGAGGGATGCAGGTGGCTTAGGTAGAAAGGTGGGCTAGGTACTTGGGGAAGACATATGCAGGTTAGCCTAGGTGTTATGTAGGGAGGGTAGGATAGGTAAACAAGTCACATAAGTTAGGACAGGTAGTAACCCAGGTTAGGTAAGATACTAGTTATGCAAACACACACAAGCTGTCACATCAATATAAAATTAAGAACAGGTACAGACAATTTATTACAATACATAAAATCAATTTCCTATACACAAAAAGCATTTTAACACATTTATTGCATACATTTTATCTTCGCTGAACAAGACGGAGCAAACTGTACTGAATATTTCACAACATGCATCATGTAAAATTTTCAGTACAGTATTAAATTTTATACAATTTGCAAAGAAGTGTATACTATGAATAATACAACTGCCAGAGCTACAGTGTAGTTGTGATACTAACATAATATACCTGAGTCGTGGTCGTGGTCATCTAGATCAGCCTGCTGCACAGTCAGGTCCCGTTTACGATCTTCCTCGTTCGGCTCCTTTATTCCTTCTGTGATTATTATCACACATTCCCCATTTCTCTTTCCAGCATCTTCCATCTGATTCTGCCCGCTTTCTTCAGAGTGGTGCAGCTGGTGCGGTTCGTCGTCTTCACCAGTCACCACTATGGTGAAGCCACCAAGACGCGACTCGAGTGCTTGTTCCAGCTGAGTAGCGTCGGGTGAGAGCGAGTCACTCCTGCTGCCCCCTCGACTGCTGCTCTGGGGACTCCCCGGTCCTGTCACCTCAATCACTATTTGAGGTGGTGATGCCAAGTTGAACCCTCTGTTGTTACTTCCACCACCATTGTCCCCGTTTTCCTTCTCGGGGACAACAGCCAACCCTGGGACGGGAAGACCCAAACACCCTCCACCCTTTGGTGTGAAGTCAAGTTTGCCTGGGCCTTCACAGTGCTGTGGGACACCACCTGTTATATCACAACAACACACCCGACCAAACTTACGCACAACTTTCGCTCAATGTAACAACTCGCTAAACATTCAGATTTGTCGGTGAACATACAATACTTGGTCTATGTGCTATAAACAATTATTTTATGATCTATTTCAGGGGCCAGATTAAAATTTTATAATTACAATCACATTACATAACTTGGATAAAACAGCCCACTCAACTGTTACTATATTAAGGTCTAAAAATTTATGCATGCTTACTTTATCTACACATGGGAAAATGTCATGACTAGTAATATGAGAAGTTATCTATACACAAAACTAAGATACATTTATTTTTACTACAGTCTGCTGCTAATAATAATAAATATTGCAAAACAATTGAGAAAAAAAAAGATTTTTGCAGATAAAGATAATGTATGAGAGTTTCACAAAACCTGCATCACTTTGCCATATATAACAAAACCATAAAAATAATTTGTATAAGAAAATACTGGTAATATATACAATCATTAATTTTTCTAATTATTGTTAGTAAAAGACAATCAACATTATTCTCAGATCAAAATCACGAATGATAAGTTACCTTTGGCTCGTGTATCTCTGGTCTATGGATTGAATGATGGTGGTGGTGATGGTGGTGGTGATGGTGGTGATGATGGTGATGTGGATGTCTCTGACCCCCATCTCTTCTTCCTGAAAAGATGAAAAGAAACTGCTACATAAATATAATTTGATGAGATTTACTGTATATCAACACTGCATCAGGAGTAATTTCAAGTGTTCTTTATTGAAGGCAAATTCAAATGTATCGATTGTTATTTTTATCCCTTAATGATATTTAAATTACCATACGAGCAGGATTATCCGGAGCCCACTGATCCGAATATGTGGGGTTATCCGGCAAAAACTGCAACCGAATATTTTTCTGGCAAAACTTTGCCATATCCGGATAGAAATTCAAATACCCAGAGGTTTGACCGGATAGTGCAGACTGGTATGGGTTCATACCAGTCTGGGTGTGGTGCAAGGGTATTAGCACACCCCCCCTCATACATACAACATCAACCAGGCTGTGATTCATATGTCAGGGTGCGAGCAGCCGCGTCCAACAGCCCAGTTGACCAGTCCAGCAACAAGGAGGCCTGGCTGACGACTAGGCCGCGGGGACGCTAAGCCCCAGAAACACCTCACGGTAACCTCAAGGTATCAGGGGGGGAAGGGGGGTATGGGGAGGGTGTGCAGGAGTATGGGGGGGGTGCAGGGGCGTGGGGAGTGTGTGCAGAAGTAGAGGGGGTGCAGGGGCGTGGGAAGGGTGTGCAGGAGTAAGGGGGTGCAGGGGCATGGGGGTGCAGAGGCATAGGGGGGTGCAGGGGCATGGGGAGGGTGTGCAGGAGTAAGGGGGTGCAGGGGCATGGGGGTGCAGAGGCATAGGGGGTGCAGAAGCATAGGGGGGTGCAGGAGTAGGGGGGGTGCAGGGGTATGGGTTTCAGGGTTAGGGGGTGTTGTGAGGGACTGTCTGGGGAGATGAGGGGCATGTGGAGGTGTCTATGATCTGTATTATATAGAATAACCAAGAATAGTGTTAAAAACAATTCATACAGTAAAAACTAAACAATTATCTAATACTGTATAATAACAACAAATACAATTTTCTAAAAAAATTGCGTGTACAGGAGACTTTAGTTTCCTCTAAAATTTGGGGATTTTTTCCACCTTTCTACATAAGGTGCCTACCTGACCAAAGTTGACCCATCCAGACCTGGTCAAGTTAAACAGGCCATGTGCTTTTGACCCCCCTAACTTCATACCAGTGCTGCTCCATTAGTGAAACAATTGCTTAAATATCTTTTTTATTATCACAGTAACTCCAATAATCCTTTGCCAAGACTATGTCTGGTAGTAGCATCAGTCGTCATGGAGGTGTTAGGAGGTTGTGCTGACAACACAGACAACCAAATACAGTCTACTCATCTCTTCTGTTGACATACCTGCTTGATGGGGTTCTGGGAGTTCTTCTACTCCCAAAGCCCGGCCCGAGCCCAAGCTTGACATGTTAATTTTTCATCAAGCTCTGCTAACCCAGAAGTTGGAAATGTGTATCAGTAATTGTAGCGAATCAGAGAACTGGTTCTGTGGTTGGTCCAACGAACTGGGAATGGTCCCATATAGTGCGACGAATCAAGGTCGTACTGTATGTTGGTTGTGGTACAAAAAGTTGCTAATATGTTCACTTATGGACTTCCCCTGTAAGAGTTCTGCTTAGCAGGCAGGGGGGGGGGGGGGAGTCCTTTCCAGATAGTCTGGATAAACGAGCTCATACAGTATTTGAAATATATCTTACTTTTAAAGATTATATTTATCTTTAATTTATTTGTTTGGTATAATTTGATACCTAAAACTTGCCTCTCAACAATTTATGGTTGTTGATCTATACAGATTTTGTTCAATTATTCTGACAATTTTGGAATTATATTTACAGTATTGTGTTGCACAATGTAATGGCAAGAATGTGATGTATCTACAAGGACTAGAGAGAGCAAAAGATGAGATCAAACCATCATCCCTGGACTCCCTAGGAACATGTATTATCAAATTGTATCATCTCAAGAATTATTCAGTTGTTATTTTCTTATTTAAAAAAATAATGATCTTTCTTTAACCAATAATCAAGTCAAGCTTGTGTGGCAACTTGTATGAAACAAAGATTAAAATTGAATGAAAACTAACAGAAGTGCAACGATTTAAGCACCCGACTAAGATTACAAATTTTCCTGATAAAAAACAATTCAATGTAATGAAATGGCTCTTTCTAGGTTGGGACTCGGCGAATCCCTGAAGCTAGCTGCACTGACGTAAATCTATACACACGAGTCACATCAGCCTTACGAGTCCTTAGCAGCCCACTAGAGACCAGAGCCGGAACTTGATCCACTCAGTGACACACAGGGAGTAGGGAATCCATGCAGAAAGTCGGCAAATGAAAATAGACAACTGCACGGTTCACAGAGAAACAAATAGTGAAGCAGCAAATGGCTCCACAAACGATCCACTCAGTGGTCAGTTTGAACCCTTCTAGTTTAACTGTGGTCAGCTGAGGGGACATTACCACTGGGAGCTACTAGCCCCCATGACAACACACCTCCAACCACAGCTCAAGACCATGAACTGATACATCTGGTAAGCAGAGAGGCGACAAAGCCACCGTGGCCCAACCAGAAAGAGGCGTTTCATTACATTCAGTGCTGGTTTTATGAAGATGCCAAAAGGTGGCTTCCTGTAGCTATAATCACAGAGGAGAATGAAACGGGAACTTACCAGGGAGGAGGAGAGCAAACACTAAACCCTCGAAAAAGAGCCCAGGATAAGAACTGACAGCAACAAGCCTGATGGGAACCAGACACACTGACCTGGTAATGAGCTGCCAGGACCTTGTGAAACCTCCATAACCAGAGACTGGATATCAGCTTAAGACAATACAGAACACTGCAATTAGAGCCACAACCTTCGAACATCATGGGCACGAGGGTAGACCAGAGGCAGGATAAATTTAATGACAGTGCAGACAACCCGAGAGACACGAACCTTGAAACAAGGAACCCAGTAAAGAAGATCAATGAACAATACATCACCTAAAGCAATATGGATGATGCACCAGGAGTGACAGAGTTGCAATCAGACACAAGTGATACATCCTTGGACGAACAAACCACAAATTGACAATCAAATGACCCCTCTGGAAGCCAACTGCATCATTCTTTGCCAGAAAAGAGGGAAAAGGTTAGGCCAAAGTAACAGAACCCCTTGTTCCATAGGAGAATATGAAACTTCTCAACCCAACAACCAGAAGAGGGAGCAAACAAAAAAAAAGCAAAAAAATGGATCACAAACCAAATGAGCATCCAAGAAGCATGGAGAAAAAGACTAAAACCCAACCTAGAGACCAAAACAGCTCAGGAGGAACACAAGCAGGCTAGTAATGGAAGAACGCACGAGCCAATGTACAGATCAGCTCCTAAAAGACATTACTCTGAACGCCCACATATGCCATGTTATGGAATCTGGAACAGGAGAAAATAGGCGACACACACAACCTACAAATTACGTGGAAAAAATATTAGAAAGCTCTCATTGGCAAACAGATTAGTATATGGTTGGAACAAGTGATGAGGCAGTGGATGTCAAAACCATAAATACAGCAGTTTCAGAGCTTCATAGCTTCATATGACAGTACTGTACTGGGAAGGTGGAATACCATGAGTGTAGCTTTCATCCTGTAACTACATTTAGATAATTACACTAAGTTAATTACCATACACAGCCACCAGAACATTCACGACACCCATGAACCCGGGTAAGAATGCGGGTGTAGGTGGGTCCACTGGCGAGACCCCAGTCGTAGGGTGCCGAGACCCCCAGTCATAGGGTGGCGAAACCACAGTCGTAAGGTTACCTTGAGGTGATTTCGGGGCTTAGCAACCCCGCGGCCCGGTCATCAACCAGGCCTCCTCGTTGCAGGATTGGTCAACCAGGCTGTTGGATGCAGCTGCTTGCAGCCCGACGTATGAGTCACAGCCTGCTTGATCAGGTATCCTTTGGAGGTGCTTAATGAGTTCTCTCTTCAACACTGTGAGGGGTCGGCCAGTTATGCCCCTTATGTGCAGTGGAAGCGTGTTGAACAGTCTCGATCCTCTGATGTTGATACAGTTCTCTCTCAGAGTACCTGTTGCATCTCTGCTCTTCAACGGGGGTATTCTGCACATCCTGCCATGCCTTCTGGTCTCATGTAATGTTATTTCCATGTGCAGGTTTGGGACCAGCCACTAATATTTTCCCATGTGTAAATTATTATGTATCTCTCCCATAGGGGTCCACGGGTAAGAATGTGGTCATAGGGGTCCACGGGTGAGAATGTGGTCATGGGGGTCCACGGGTGAGAATGTGGTTGGAACAAGGGGAACGAGACAACATTTGGAACCACCTTAACGTAGGGGGAACCTGTATTGCCCTAAAAGGTTTCCTGTCCCCAATAATAAGAAACCAAGTCATTACCTATTTGTAGACTTTGAGAAGTAATTTAGAAGAAATCTTGTTCTCCAAGTGATTGTAACTTGAGATACTAAAGTGCACCATGAGACAACACTACAGTGAATCTGAAGAAGCAATACTATAAAAGCGTTATACAGGTACATATATACATAAATATACACACCTGAGGGAAATGGTTTGTAGCGAAGGAAGCCGTCTTTCGTGCCATTGAGAAAGTACTGCACAGACTCTTTGAACTTTGCAACACGAGGATCGCTGACAGATCCAAAAACTTGGGCTCCAATTGTTAACAAGTTATTAACGTCACATCGATTCACAATAAACTTGACTACGGCTCGTATAACGTCCTCCTGAGGTGTCTGTTGAAAAATGCATTAAAACGAGTTAGTAATTTCATACTTGTAAACATTAGAAAAGTAAGGCAACATAATGTAAAGTGCACAAACAAAAGCAGAATTGTGGAACGAGTACATGGAGGAGAGTTAAGTTCAAACTCCAAGACCAGCCTGTGGGGTGAAGTCAACCATCTGGTTACAGGAAACTTTGCAGCGACGAGCTCACTAATCAATTAATTCACCTCTCACTGTTGACAGCCATGGTACCAGGGGTTCACATTAACATTTCAACTCGACACATGCTAGACGCTGCCCAATCAAGTGATGAGGCAGGACAAAACAATATAGTACCAGTATTTATTAGAAGTAATATAATGCTGTATTTGAGCATACACTAATTTTATTATAAAGTAATCTTCCTTACTCATATATACCTAACTTTTCCACACAGTTAATATATTCTCTTATCAATGGCTACTAGAGGGGTAACCAGCAGTGTTCGGATCTGTGTTTCTCTTCCACTCCTTCCCCCTCTTTCCACTCAGCTGTCCCCCCTCCCCACCTCTTTTCCCCCTCTCCACTCCTCTTCTCTTCTCCCCAATTTCACCTGCCACTTCCCTCCTCCTCCACTGTTTCCCCATTCCTCTTCCACCCCCCATCCACCCCTCTCCCTCCCTCCCCCCTCTCCAACCCCTTCCTACCCCTAAACCTTCTCTCCACATCTCCCATTTTACCCCTCTTTCCTTTTCCTTCCACAACATCCCTTTGTTGCCCCTCTCCCATCACCTTCCCCATCTCCCCTCTCCCATCATCTTCCCCAGCCCCTCCTCTCGCAACACCTTATCCATCCCCTTCACCCATCACCTTCCCCATCCCTCTCTCCCATAATCTTACATCTTCATTACATACCATCTTCACTGCATATAATACCTTCATCACTGTAACCATCTTCACTGCATATAATATCTTCATCACTGTAACCATCTTCCCTACTATCTTCACTAACCTGAATGAATTCAGTTCATTTTCAAGTAAATTATGAAGATGCACGGGTAAACGGTGGAAGTAAACTCAATGCAAAACACATCTGCGATTTCATTTTAGTTTTCATGAAACTTGCACTGGGGGTGGGGGGGGTGGGGGAGGTAGAGGCTGATATTTCTTCCTTAACTTAGGCCAGCCTATGTCTGTCCCTTAGCCCAAAATGTTTTCTCTGCCATGCTGAGCAAGGCTATCAGGCCCCCAAGCATCTGGCCTCTAACCTTGGATAGACAGATAAACACTCCCATATATACAGATAGCTCAGCTTTGGTTAGTCCTCAACTTTTGCAGCAATGTCGGTTTTTAAAGAATTCCAATAAATCCACAACACCAAAACAATTTTCAAATTATTAACCAAAGAACCCCATAAATCCCAAACCAAAGAATCCTCATAAATCCCCAATAACCAGTCCCATTAATTCTCAACCAAAGAATTCCCATAAATCCCTAACAACCAAAGATCCCTCAAATCCACAACAATCCACGTCACAACTACCAAATTGACAGCACTACCTTACAACAGGTAGATGAAGGAAAGGACCTTGGGTGTCAGAATCCATTATTCACTAAAAGTTGCACAAGTGGGAAAAAAAGTGCACAAAGTAATTTTCTTGGGGTCGCCCAAAAAATGGGGTTTCATTACATTCAACGCTGGTTTTCTGTGGGGCGCCCCTTTGGCTCCCTAGAGCTACATAATCAAAGATAAGGAAAAGAGGGATTTACCCGGGAGGTTATCTTGAGGTTATCTTGAGATGATTTCGGGGTTTTAGTGTCCCCGCGGCCCGGTCCTCGACCAGGCCTCCACCCCCAGGAAGCAGCCCATGACAGCTGACTAACACCCAGGTACCTATTTACTGCTAGGTAACAGGGGCATAGGGTGAAAGAAACTCTGCCCATTGTTTCTCGCCGGCGCCTGGGATCGAACCCAGGACCACAGGATCATAAGTCCAGCGTGCTGTCCGCTCGGCCGACCGGCTCCCAGGTGGCCGCATCTTGCTCCTCAACTTGAAGTCAAAACAACTAGCTGCAACCTGCAACCCAAAGCAACACACAAACATCCAGGACCAGGAATGTTGACCAAACAACAGGCGGCCAGGACCCTGTCCGACCTCCAAAATCCCCACCCTTGAATATCAACCCAAGACATGTTGCCGAAAACGGCAGCCAAAGCAGCAAACTTCCGAACCTTATGGCACGAGGATAGACTACAGGCTGGCTAGACTTAATAACCTGTCGGACAACCTGGAAGACCCGAGCTCTGGAACAGGAAAAAGAGGGAAATCGGATCAACTTAAAGAGCATACCCGGTCACATAAGCCGAGGCAAGCAGGTAATGACGAAGAGCTGCAACCGGACACGGAACGATACAACCCCAGCCTAACCAACAATCATCAATGACCCAAGGACCCCTCTGGAATGCAGCCGTCTCGTTCTTCACCAGAAAAGGAGAAGGCTGCAAACGAACAAACCGCTAAGCAGGACCGAACGAGCAGAAACCCCTGCGTCGGAGGAGAGCATGAAGCTCACCAACCCAACTCCCAAAGCCTGAGGCCAATGCCAACAGAAAGATCCTTGGAAAAACAATCTTGAAGCAAAGGGGCCACCACAAACCGAGGATAAGAGAGATAGGATAGCACCCTGTGCAAAGACCAGGACGGCTCAGGTGGCACATGAGCAGGCTGGAGATGAAACAAAGCACAAGAAAGCTTACTGAACAAGGCAGAAGTGACATCCACCTTGAACTCAAACTGGAGCAGCTCCACCAGCACAGCACGATACGAGGCGACAGTATTAGGCATTAAATGACTGTCCCGAAAAAGCCAAGAAAGGACAAGACAACCCGATCAGAAATAGAAGACAACCTAGGAAGAGAAAGAAAATGGCGGAATAAACACCAGGAAACTTCATACTGTCGTCGAGACAAAGCTCTCAGGTGAGACACCATTACCGAAGCCACCTGATCACCACACAAATGGTGATAAACCCGTGTCAAAAAGACCAGAGGCGAAGAGCGGAGAAGATGACTGAACCAGCCTTATACCAGACAGGTCCACGCTGCTGGAAAAGGTGGAGCTGTGGAAAACGCCCAGGGTCCAGACACCAAGCAAGCAGCACCTGAAACCAAGGATGGGCCGGCCACCAAGGGGCCAAGACGACTCTCCCGTGATAAGACTCCAATTGAGCCAGAACCTGAAGCAACAGATGGACCGGGGGGAAGAGGTATAGGTAACCCCACCTCGATCAATCCTGCCGAAAGGCATCCACCGCAAATGCTCTGCGATCAGAGAAAGGTGCCACATATATTGGGAGACACCACGACCAAGTCGACATGAAGAGGTCCACTTCCCGGAGCCCATACGTCCAGCAGAGCCAACTGCAGGAGTCTGCATCAACCATCCATTCCGTGAACAGGGGAATGAACCGAGACGGGCTGTCCGCCTGGACGTTGGACACTCCTCGGATGTGAACCACATGGACAGCCAAACCCCGAGAAACCAACAGAGGAGCAGCATGAAACAGAGGTGCATGAAACACCCCAGCTGACTCCAAAAGCAGGCAATCACCGCAGAGCAAGCAGCAAAAGACCACAGCAGAGGTAGACCTCAAGTGACTTGTGGAAGATAATGCCAAGCCACAAGGGAAGTACTTACAGGGCACCTAGGGAAGGTAACCCTAGGTACATGCAGCCCGAGTACTGGTGAAAATACTCCTGGCTCACACACACCACCACGGAACAGAACCACACCACAAGGCACTGGAATGTCAGGAGCCAGATTCGCAAGACCACTAGGTCTCCCATCAGTCTCAGAACTGGGGGTGGATAGCCGGCACGGGTGTGTCTGGGGCTCTCAATTTCCCCTCCCGGGGAGGGAGGAGCTGTGCAGACAGCGGCACGGTGTCAGTTGTGACATCATGCTCGTATGCTCGTTTTTAGTTTGGAGAGCAGTCCGGTTTTCAGTAGAAATTTTGTTAACCAGATAAGAGTTTGTTTTGGGGTGCTTACCTTTCTGGGTGCCTGACCCTGCTTGATACCTGCTTGATGGAGTTCTGGCAGTTCTTCTACTCCCCAAGCCCGGCCCGAGGCCAGTCTTGACTTGTGAGAACTTGGTCCACCAGGCACCATCGCCCGGTCGATGGCAGACATAGAATGCTTCCATTAGCTTTAACCAATGCCACGGTCTAATACATTTATATTAGCCCGGTCAGCTAAGGGAAGCCGAAGGGGCTACCCTCAGAAAAAATGAGATTGTAGTGGGAAAAGTTGATCTTGAACCAGACGAGGTACACAAAACCATGAGCTTACTTGCTGCTTGTCGTAGCCTGGGATTAGTGAAGCATAAAAGTCGCGTAGATCTGTCTCTGTAAGAAGATAGTTGCCCAGGAGAGCTGCCAGCAAGCAGAAGTAGTTGCGTTGCAGACCGAGGCCCTTAGCTACTTCATCTAAAATAAATTCTTTGGTCTCTAGGGAACCCTGAAACAAAATAAACATTAACATATATGATGTAATAAGATATGCTTTTATGGTTTGGAGGCACACAGTAACTCATGATATAACAAGTTCTTAAATGACTATATAATAATGTGTACAAGAAAAACTATTGTGTACAAGTACAAGTTCCGGGGGGAACCCACCCGGGACCCCCGGAGAACCAACAAGTTGGACATCGGACGACAGCTGAAAGAAGCCACCTGCATATACTGCTCGACCACAGAATCTGCAAACAATAAGGGACAAAAGGACAAAGACAACTTAAGAGCCAGGGCCCAAGCAGATTTCAAGGAAGAAGCAAGCACAACCTGCCGACACGCGAGAAGCGCAGCGAAAAACCGCAACACCGCATCCTGCAGGATCGGCTCAAAGAGATTCGATAGCACAGATGACGAACGAGCAGCCGAGACCAAGACACAACCCAGGAATGGCCCCAAGTGCCTCCACGTGCCATTTACTGCCCCCAAGCGTTTTGTAAGCCAATCAAGATGAAGACCCAAACCTGAAGGAAGACGGATCCATTATAGAGGCATATTCCGGGTCGCGTATGAGGTGAGCAGCAATGACCGCCCGCACCTCAGTAGGAGAAATGCAGGAAGCCGAAAACCTCCGGAAAGACTGAACCAAAGGACCTACAGGGATACGGAACTGAACCCGGAGGCGAGCTGAACCCAAATCCAACTTGTATGCAGAAGGGGAAAAGGAAAGCCCCACTCCTTGTAGCAGTAAGTCCCGCTCGGAGGGTTGGAAAACCCAGGTGGGGTCCAATGGGGCCCAAGGCCCCCCCCCCCCAAGTCAACTCCTCCCCAAACACGGGAACCTTCACATCAGGCCCGGGGGGGGGGGGGGGGGGGGGGGGGGGGGGGTAAGTCATCCCTCAAAGCTCCGGTCTCAAGAAAAAGCCGGGGCGGCCGAGAAAGCAGGAAGAGAAGGGGGCCCACTGGTTAGACCCCGGTGCAACAGCTGGAGGAACTGACTCGAATGCCTCCTTTGCCACACCGGAAGGGGCAGCCCCCCGAAACTGCTCGAGTCTCGGAAACCTCTAAACCCTGCCCCCGACCTCGAAGCCCTCAGATGCTTAGGAGCCGGAAGGGGGAGAAAACAGAATGAACCATAGTAGGGAAAGAACGAGGAGGTGTGGACTGAACCAAGGCCGAAGCGACCAACACCCCAAAGTCCGGGGTCCCTATAAGAAAAGCAGTTCTGCCTCCCTGTTCGATTTTCGGTTGCAATTTCTTACAAAGAGGTATATTTTGTTATGCCTACCTTTCTGGGTACTAACCCCGGTCAATGACAGACATGGAATGCCTCCCTACCACATTGGGGAGGGGGGTTCTACAGGCCATTGCGCCCTTTGCCTCTCTGAGGGGGCCAGGTACTGGCTTGTGGTCCCTGGTAGGCTGAACTCCAATTGACTGATGCTCAAGACCAATATAACACATCAGCCTAATAGCTCCAGGGAGCCATAGGGGCTCCCCTCAGAAAAGCTGAAGTTTTCATTTAATGATTTTATAAAGGGGCAGAAGAAAGAAGGTAACAACCAAACCTAACCTTTCCTAGGTATAGTATAGCACATACTGTTTACTATATGTACTACATTATGCCTAAGACAGCATATATTAGGTCTAGGATTGCTTATAATGAATGCATACAGTACCTAGGATATGTCAGGCTGATTTTCAGGTTATTGCAGCTTTTGATATGCCCTTTAGTATACTAATAGTACAAAATGTGGACTAGTTTGGGCATGACACACTATTTTATAAATTCCACGCACAGTCATTATAGGTACATTATGCTGTAGTTATTTTTGAAGGACGAGTCAGAATAAAGACCAGTAAGGGACAACGAAGAAGGAATTATAATGCAGTCGAGGCTTGTGCCTGAAATCCACACTTGGCAATTCACAGAAGGTGGCAATTCTGACATATTTGCAGTGCTGCTAGAAGTGAGAATGATTATTTTTTGAGGAGGGGAATGGGATAGAAGGATGTTCTCAATGGTATAGTAGGAATAGGCCCAAAGAATGACATAATAGGTGGAAATGTTATTGCAGGAATAAATGACAATGGTTGTAAACTGAAAGATTAACACAATGAAAGTTATCTTGTATTATATAACTAATAAATAAGATAAACCTAGTAGCTTTTATTTGATTGACCGAGTGACACTGGCTGCCAAACTTTGGTACACAAGCAGTGTGGTCAACACTTATACACCAGAGATAGGTGTTGAGGAACTTAACGTAGAAGCATTCCAAACCCCAAGGCACACCTTTGTTTATACACTAATACTCTTGCTATTTATCAGCAGAGCCCCGACAATATCGTCGGTTTAGCTGTCTTTCAGAGAAAGGTAGAACAATTTAGTCATGTAATAGCTAGATGCTTACCTTGTACGTAAGTTTGAGCTGGTGTGATGAGAAGTAACGAGGGGGATCAAAAATTATGTATTCTGCGTCTTCTGCCATAAGACCATGATAGTTATTTTCCCGACAAAAAGCAATAACTTCCTGATGGTGATCGTCCATTGTGCATAACTGAAAAGTAGTTAATTCATGTGAGAAATGACTTGCTAAGTCTATTTGAATAGCATTTATAAAAGATGAAAGGACACGCTACAGTACTCGAACCTTCCGTCTTGTACACCACAGCCTTGCATATTCTGAAATATGCAAGACAAGGGCTCATAAAGGGGGCCCGGGAGTTCAAAACTATTCGTCCAATTATGATATATAGTACAAAATGTTTAAACAAATCTCACATTATTTGGCATTAGCGTCGTGAAAATTTCATCCCAAAATGTTAAGAAATTAATTTTATACGAATTAAAAAACAAAAAGTGCGCAACCAGTACTGATTAAACAACACCTAGTTAGTGGAACTCATGGATAATGCAGTAATAAACAGATGTAGGCACCTGTCCAATGCACAAGGAAGAAAAGTAATAGTAAGGAGGATCCACAAAGTGGATATGCAGCTGGTGCCTTCTAGGATTGCTGATAGCCACCTCGAGGACAAAATTTCACACCAATAATGAGTAAGTATTTTATGTTGCTGTATTTTATTATATATCATATAAATACATTGCCCAATGCCAATACATTTCTTATGTCCACCATTTTTTTTTAGGGGATTTTTTATTTATTTATTTTTTCCTCCTTTGTTTCTCATGTGATTTTGTTGTGGCTTCTACATCTTGGAGAATGCATACCCGTCACTAAGTATGTGCAGTTGGAACGAAATTGGTAAACATGTAATTCCGCCACTGGTGGTAAAACCTGTAACTTAATTTTTTTTGGCCCCCCCCCCCCCGAGTTATTCACAGATTTCAAGCTATTTTCTTTGTCTCTTTAGGTTGTTTTTGCTGAATGGGGACCAGATGAGGGTGGCTTTATCACTTATATAAAGTATACTTATATATATCCCCAACACATTATCTTATCCCTATATTATGGGTGGTTATTTTTTCTCAACTTTATTTCAATACATATTGACCTACAACTTTCACATATTCGTGTACGAATGCCAAACAATATTTATTAAAATTACAAGATATGTCAAATTCGAACTCCTATTTTAGTGTCGAGAATTTGACCTTAATTTACCTGCATGACCAGGATTTTCATCTTTGAGACAACATACAAACTTTAGTTTCAGAGTGATTCTCACCATTTTTACATTATTTGCAACATTCTTGGTTCTAAGGTTTCACTGCTGTCATTTATTGATAAACCCATAACTGTGAGTGTTATAAACTTTTGTGTCTTCAAAGTGGATATGCAGCTGGTGCCTTTATAGCATTGCTGAGTAATACATAACACAAATAATAATGAGTGCTGTATGTTATTATGCTCTATTTTGTTATACAGGTACAGTATATCATATAAAAACATTGCCTAATGTTAATATGTTACTTTCACGAATGTCCAATTTTTTTTTTAAGTTTTTGTTTTCAAGTTTTTAGTTTTTTTTCCCTCCTCTGTTTATTATCTGATTTTGTTGTACCCTTCACATCCTGGGGAGTACATATCAGTCCATAACTATGTGAAGATGGAATGAAATTGGTCAACAAATAAATCAGTAACAACAGAAATCACAATTGTGTGATGCATCATATGAACTATTTTTTTTTTTTTTTTTAGATACAGTATATACAAGAGTTGTTACATTCTTATACAGCCACTAGTACGCGTAGCGTTTCGGGCAGGTCCCTGGAATACGATCCCCGCCGCGAAGAATCGTTTTTACAACCAAGTACACATTTTACTGTTGAGTTAAACAGAGGCTACAGTTAAGGATTTGCGCCCAGTAAATCCTCCCCGGCTAGGATACGAACCCATGTCAAAGCGCTCGAGGAACGCCAGGCGAGTGTCTTACCACTACACCACGGAGACTGTGTTTTGTTTTGACCATGTCGTAGCTCAGTCGATTAAGGCAGCGTCTGGGATGCTCTCGGACGCAGGTTTGAATCCTCGTCACAGCCCTTGTGGATTTGTTCAAATCGGTAACAACTTGCAGAACTTGGGACTGATTTTTTGGGGACTGATTTTTTCACAGATTTCAAACTATTTTCTTTGTCTCTTTAGGTTGTTTTGATGATTAGGGATCAGTTTTGGGTTTATCACTTATTTAAAGTATACCCTAAATATATTCCCCAAATCATCATAATTATCCCTATATTTTTTTTGGGGGGGGGGGGGGTTTCTTGTTGATTTCACTTCAACACATACTGACCTACAACTTTCACATATTCGATAACGAATGCCAAACAATGTTTATTAAAACATACAGTAAATTCCCAAATTAGAACTGCCTTATTCGTTGTCGATAACTTCAAATTATATCTATAACTAGAATTTTAACTTGCTTCAGTATCCAAAAATCTAGTTTCTGACCGATTCTCAACATTTTTACATATAGTGTGCACAGCTGTCTGTTCTACAATCCCTATAGAGTTGATTTTTCACAAACCCTAAACATTTGGAGTTATAAATTTTTGTTGTCTAAATTTGTGCATATTTCAAATGTCATAGAGACAATTTTTTTTTTACAGTAAACTATACAGTACTGAAAACCTATATTCTAATTATATAAAAATGAAGATCATATGCTATTCTGAGAGCATAACAACATCAAATGAACAGTTGGTGATATTTTATATTTTTGCAGCTGATTTCAAATCCTGAAGTTTTCAATATTCAATTTTATAATTATTTTTTATTTTCTTGTTTTTCAAGTTACATTGGTATCATTTAGACAAACTTGGAGCATTTGCCTAGTAAATTACACACAAAACATTTGAAAGCATTTCAGCAAATTTTAAAAACCGAGATCCACATCCAACTTCATATAACGTTTTGCGCAGCCTAATGGTTAATAACTTCCTCCCAGTTTAGTTTATGCAATTGGCATTAATATATGTGGTATTTCTCGCAGACATTCATAACAATGCTAATCAGATCAAGGCCATTGAGGCCTAAGCATATTTCCTCCACCTGCAAGACTCGGAAAGCTGTGCATAGTAACTAACCACTTGGATGTTGAGATGCCGCAGAGCCATCCGTAGACAGGTACGAAGACCAACGGGAGCAACCCACCACACTTTGGGCGGCGGAGTGCCTTTCACAGTTACATGTTTTAGCACCTGATGAAAACCAAATGTAAAACAAAATATTAAATCAGATGTAAAGAAATTAAATGCTATTAAAAAGGAACATTTAATTGTAAAATATTGATTGAATTTGATTGTAAAATATGCTTTCCTAAGAAAAATGAGGAATACTACCATCACACAAATGGTTTTTGTATCAGTGTTCTAGATGTTATTACAGTATATAAAAGCACTTGTGCTTCACAAGACATTTATAGTTACCTTTTGTTCTTATTCTAAACTGTATAAAACTCATTTTTTATCCATTTACAGAACACCTGCCCCACCATTGTATATTTAATGGTTCAAATTCAATTACTTGTTTAATAAGAAGCACATTCATGTTGCTTTGTTCTATTGTTATTTCAATTCATAATTACAAAATTCACCACATAGAACTGTGTGTAGAAGTGGGGAAACTTTACCAAGTTACCCTTGGAAGCACTTGGGCTCGATATGCCCAGGCTAAGAGGCATATAGCCAATCCCAGCCATAATCGTAATTATACACTTCTTGGCATTTAAAGCACATGACTCCAAACAGATTCCATTTTTTTAATCTTACCATCTGTCCTGAAGCTGGGCTTCTCTGTTACCACCTGATCACTCAGGTTATTGCTGACAGTACAACACTATCACTCAACTCAATTATGAATAAAGCACAGTATTCATCATAAGGGTCAGGAAGCCTGGAATTCTTACATTTAAGAGTTAAACAAAACAAAAGTGTAAATAAAGGTCAGCTTTGCCAAAGCAAAAAGTAATTCAGTTGTGAGAATGGAACAAAGAACAGAAAACTGGCACAAGTGAAAACTGACAAGAGACTTGACCAATCAAAACTGGAAGACTAATTCACCACACCTCTCTCTTAACCCTTCCACTGCCAATGTACGCATGATCCTCATCCTAACAAAACCTCTCCGAGTAGACTCTATTCAGGTTTTATTATACAAAGAAAAAAATAAGAAACCATATTTTCATCTAATAAAAAGTAATTTGTTTACAAGCCTCGTAAAATCAATTAAATTCTCAACACTTTTAATCATACTGAATTTATATATGAACCTCCAGCTCATCATATCAGAATAAAGTATTGACTGATTACCTATCATTGATCATAGGGTAGCAAGATTTCAATTTTTATACTCAGTCTCCTAGTTATCTTGAGATGATTTCGGGGCTTTAGTGTCCCCGCGGCCCGGTCCTCGACCAGGCCTCCACCCCCAGGAAGCAGCCCGTGACAGCTGACTAACACCCAGGTACCTATTTTACTGCTAGGTAACAGGGGCATAGGGTGAAAGAAACTCTGCCCATTGTTTCTCGCCGGCGCCCGGGATCGAACCCGGGACCACAGGATCACAAGTCCAGCGTGCTGTCCGCTCGGCCGACCGGCTCCCTTTTCTTTTCTTTTCCAGTCTTTTGAACCTGGTGCACTCTCTCTCTCTCTCTCTCTCTCTCTCTCTCTCCTGCATTGTATTCTTAAAGCTGCAGATGAAGTGGATTTGGAAACCATAAATTTTCCAGATATCACTTAAGGTAATCCTGCTAACCCTTTAGCTTCAAGCTTTAATACTGTTCCAGCTTTAGGAACGAAGCCGAGGAAGAAAGGAACAAAGAAAGGTGAGAAAACTTTAAAACTGTTCCAAAACCTACCACCAGTAAACTACACAGCCCAATAACTATAAGGATATTCCTAGGACAAGCACTCACTCTTTGAAAGTTTCAAGACAAATATGTGAAATCATTCTTCAGACTCCACACAGACCCTGCATGGGATTTAATAAAAAAGAAAACTAGATTTAAGCAAAATATATAAAGTATCCTTTCAGAGTAAACCTAACAATAAAGAGCATCAAACCCTCTTTTCCAATTATTTTGTTCAACTACCACTAGCAGGCTGCCAGATCACACACTACTAGTGACAATATTGGCCAGGAGGGTGCAGTGGCAAACAATTCACCACTGACTTCTAATTTTTAATGATACTAGCCAGATGTATGACGACTTGACGCGAACCCCACCAGAGGGAGACGTGACACAACCCCCACCAGAGGAAGACTTGACACAAGCCCCACCAGAGGAAGACTTGACACAAGCCCCACCAGAGGAAGACTTGACACAAGCCCCACCAGAGGAAGACTTGACACAAGCCCCACCAGAGGAAGACGTGACACAAGCCCCACCAGAGGGAGACTTGACACAAGCCCCACCAGAGGAAGACTTGACACAAGCCCCACCAGAGGAAGACTTGACACAAGCCCCACCAGAGGAAGACTTGACACAAGCCCCACCAGAGGAAGACTTGACACAAGCCCCACCAGAGGAAGACTTGACACAAGCCCCACCAGAGGAAGACTTGACACAAGCCCCACCAGAGGAAGACTTGACACAAGCCCCACCAGAGGAAGACTTGACACAAGCCCCACCAGAGGAAGACTTGACACAAGCCCCACCAGAGGAAGACTTGACACAAGCCCCACCAGAGGAAGACTTGACACAAGCCCCACCAGAGGAAGACTTGACACAAACCCCACCAGAGGAAGACTTGACACAAACCCTACCAGAGGAAGACTTGACACAAGCCCCACCAGAGGAAGACTTGACACAAACCCCACCAGAGGAAGACTTGACACAAACCCCACCAGAGGAAGACTTGACACAAGCCCCACCAGAGGAAGACTTGACACAAACCCCACCAGAGGAAGACTTGACACAAACCCCACCAGAGGAAGACTTTACACAAGCCCCACCAGAGGAAGACTTGACACAAACCCCACCAGAGGAAGACTTGACACAAACCCCACCAGAGGAAGACTTGACACAAGCCCCACCAGAGGGAGACGTGACACAAGCCCCACCAGAGGAAGACTTGACACAAACCCCACCAGAGGAAGACTTGACACAAACCCCACCAGAGGAAGACTTGACACAAACCCCACCAGAGGAAGACTTGACACAAGCCCCACCAGAGGAAGACTTGACACAAACCCCACCAGAGGAAGACTTGACACAAACCCCACCAGAGGAAGACTTGACACAAGCCCCACCAGAGGAAGACTTGACACAAACCCCACCAGAGGAAGACTTTACACAAACCCCACCAGAGGAAGACTTGACACAAGCCCCACCAGAGGAAGACTTGACACAAGCCCCACCAGAGGAAGACTTGACACAAACCCCACCAGAGGGAGACTTGACACAAGCCCCACCAGAGGGAGACGTGACACAAGCCCCACCAGAGGAAGACTTGACACAAACCCCACCAGAGGAAGACTTGACACAAGCCCCACCAGAGGGAGACGTGACACAACCCCCACCAGAGGAAGACGTGACACAAGCCCCACCAGAGGAAGACTTGACACAAACCCCACCAGAGGAAGACTTGACACAAACCCCACCAGAGGAAGACTTGACACAAACCCCACCAGAGGAAGACTTGACACAAGCCCCACCAGAGGAAGACTTGACACAAGCCCCACCAGAGGAAGACTTGACACAAACCCCACCAGAGGAAGACTTGACACAAACCCCACCAGAGGAAGACTTGACACAAACCCCACCAGAGGAAGACTTGACACAAGCCCCACCAGAGGAAGACTTGACACAAGCCCCACCAGAGGAAGACTTGACACAAGCCCCACCAGAGGAAGACGTGACACAAACCCCACCAGAGGAAGACTTGACACAAACCCCACCAGAGGAAGACTTGACACAAGCCCCACCAGAGGAAGACTTGACACAAGCCCCACCAGAGGAAGACTTGACACAAGCCCCACCAGAGGAAGACTTGACACAAGCCCCACCAGAGGAAGACTTGACACAAGCCCCACCAGAGGGAGACGTGACACAAACCCCACCAGAGGAAGAAAAGTAGATACATTTCACTCATGATGGTCTGGAATGCAAAATGTAACAATATGTCACACATGAGTCTAGGATTATAGATGTTGTGCTCAGAGGTGCAATGACACACTCTTGTATTGTTTGTTGCAACGTTACAGGTATATAATGAATTATCAGCTGTAGATACTTACCGAGTTTATATTTTTTCTAAGGGAGCACTCTTGTCGTGACCATTCATTTAGACGCTGTTGTTCCAGAGCACCATTAAAGAACACAGCAAGTTCTATGTTGTTATTTTGAACTGTTTGCATAAGCACTGCCAGAAACTGCACCATGCGATTCCACTGCCCCCCACATACCCAGTCTGGAAAAAATTTAAATATAAAAGTAATGTTATTTATAACTAGATACCTCTATGATTAAAATGTAATCCACAATTACATTGTGGATTACATTCATTCAACTGGATCCTAACATTCATTCAACTGGATCCTAACATTCATTCAACTGCATCCTAACATTCATTCAACTGGATCCTAACATTCATTCAACTGGATCATAAGTCAAAAGTTGGGGCCCAATTGGGTAATGCCAAGATGCTTTCTTATTGGGAGCATCCATGGCCCGAGTAGTAGGACAAATGGGCTCGTCTCGTGAGCCCAAGTTTGAGTCTCCGATGTACGTGTGATTAACAGACACAAGTTTTTTATTATTATTTTATTAGCTTAGTTTAGTGAGATTAATGTAAATTTAGCTAAATTCTGTAGCTTTTATAACTACTGTACTGTACCTTTATTCTTTCAATTATTCTACTGCAAGGGAGGGCACCCTTTAAAATTGTCTGCATGGAAATATATACCAATTTTTTTAAGAATTAGTTTATTTTTATTTGCATTAGCAAAAACAAAAATACAGCATTATTTTTATTAATAAATAAGAATAGGTTTTTAGGTTAATTAGGTTAATTTTTTAGGAATGGGTACACTTATGTTTTCCTGACAGGCAAAACTTGTACACACTCAAATTGTATAACCTTGGAAAAAGGAAAAAACCAGTGTTGAATGTAATGAAACGCCATTTTCTGGGCGAGTCCTGGAGGCTCCCCGGAGCTTACTGGGCACGAGGAGCAATGGCCTATAGAAACCCAATGTGGTTGGTAGCCTTCTATGTTTGCCATCTACCGAAATAGGCACCCAGAAAGGTAGGCGTACCAAAACAAACTACAGCTGATTAAAAATTGTAACCAAAAGCCGAACTGGCATGCAGAGCTCTCCAAACCGAAAACAAGCAAACAAGCCCGACGTCACCATCGCCGCTGCACCACTGTCTGCACAACTTCCCCCTCCCCAGGAGGGAGAAAGGGGAGCCCCAACCCAACGCGCCGGCTATCACACCCCAGTTCAGAGGCTGAATGTAAAAAACGCAAAAATTGCCGACCCGTTTTGCCGGGGAACCTCTGAGACTTGCCCAGAAAATGGTGATGGTGAACGGTGAACAATAAAGCACCTAAATTATTGGGATCGTCTCAAAACTCTCCAAACGTACTCGCTAGAAAGGAGACGAGAGAGATACCAAATAATATACACATGGAAAATACTGGAAGGCCGGGTCCCTAACGTACACAGTAAAATAACAACGTACTGGAGTGAACGATATGGAAGAAAATGCAGAATAGAACCAGTGAAGAGCAGAGGTGCCATAGGCACAATCAGAGAACACTGTATAAACATCAGAGGTCCGCGGCTGTTTAACGTCCTCCCAGCGAGCATCAGAAATATTGCCGGAACAACTGTGGACATCTTCAAGAGAAAACTAGACTGTTTTCTACAAGACATTCTGGACCAACCGGGCTGTGGTGGGTATGTGGGCCTGTGGGCCGCTCCAAGCAACAGCCTGGTGGACCAAACTCTCACAAGTCAAGCCTGGCCTCGGGCTGGGCTTGAGGAGTAGAAGAACTCCCAGAACCCCATCAACCAGGTATCAACCAGGTATTTCATTGCATTCAACGCTGGTTTTCTGTGGAAAGGCGGTCGCCTCTCGCTCCTCAACTCGAAGTCGAGACAACTGGCTGTAACCTGCGACCCAAGGCTACACACGCCCGAGTAGGGCCAGGAACATTAACAAGGAACCGTGCAACCATGACCCTGTTCGACCACCCTGCGGACAACCTGAGAGACCTGCGCCCTAGAACAGGAAAGAAGGGGAAACCAGGTCCACTCAAACCACCTCCCCAGCCACCAAGGCCATGGCGCACAAGTAACGGCAAAGAGCTGCAACCGGACAATACATGATGCACCCCCGGCCGAACCAACCAAGCATCAACAACCTAAGGACCTATCCAGAAAGCAGCAATCTCATTCTTTGCCAGAAAAGGAGAAGACAGCTGCAAACTAACAAACCTACCACCAGGACCAGAAGAACAGAAACCCCTGCGCCGGAGGAGAGCATGAAGCTCCCTGACCTGACCTACAAGAGGCCAATGCCAACAAGAGCCTTAGAAAAATCCTGAACCGAAGAGGCCACCACAAACTGAGGAGAAGAGAACAGAGCTCCTGGTTGGTTGATTCCTGGTTGATGGGGTTCTGGGAGTTCTTCTACTCCCCAAGCCCGGCCTGAGGCCAGGCTTGACTTGTGAGAGTTTGGTCCACTAGGCTGTTGCTTGGAGCGGCCCACAGGGCCACATACCCACCACAGCCCGGTTGGTCCGGCACTCCTTGGAGGAATAAATCTAGTTTCCTCTTGAAAATGTCCACGGTTGTTCCGGCAATATTTCTTATGCTTGCTGGGAGGGTGTTGAACAACCGGGGACCTCTGATATTTATACAGTGTTCTCTGATTGTGCCTATGGCACCCCTGCTCTTCACTGGTTCTATTCTGCATTTTCTTCCATATCGTTCACTCCAGTACGTTGTTATTTTACTGTGTAGATTTGGTACTTGGCCCTTCAGTATCTTCCAGGTGTATATTATTTGATATCTCTCTCGTCTTCTTTCTAGTGAGTACATTTGGAGGGCTTTGAGACGATCCCAATAATTTAGGTGCTTTATCACGTCTATGCGTGCAGTATATGTTCTCCTGGTCCAACAACCAGGATGGCTCGGGCAGCGCATGAGCCAGACGTGAAACAATGCATGAGAAACTTGCAGAATGGAGCGGAAGTGACATTGGAAGCCAAAGTGGCTCTGCCAGCGCCGCACGATACGAGGCAACATTATTCGGCATAAGATGACAATGAGATAAGATGATGATGATAAAGGACAAAACAACCCGATCAGAAATCAAAGACAACCTGCAAAGAGACAAAAAATGACAAAAGAACTGCCAGGAAACCTCACACTGATACTGAGACGAAACAGGCAGGTGGGACACCATCAACGAAGCCACCTGATCACCATACAAGTGGTGATAAACCTGTGTCAGAAAGACCAGATGCGAAACTCGGTGGAGGAAATCAAACCAGCTATATTCCACATCAAATCGATCTGCTAAAATAGGCGGAGCCGCGAAAAGAACCCCGGGTTGGACACCAGGTAAGCAGCGCCAGAAACCAAGGAGTCAACAGGCCTATTCTCCCCTGGTAAGTCTCCAACTGAGCCAGAACCAAAGCAACAGCTGGACAGGGGGAAAGAGGTACAGGTAACCCTACCTCAACCAGCCCTGCCAAAAGGCATCGACCCCAACGACCTCGCAGTCAGGGAACGGCCCCACATATACCGGGAGATGCCTCGACCTCGCCGACAGGAAGAGGTCTACCGCCCGGTGCCAGTACATCCAGCAGAGCCAACTAAATGAGTCAGTGTTGACCGTCCATTCTGTGTACAGGGGAATGAACTGGGTCAGGCCGTCAACCAGGACATTGCACACTCCTTGGATACGAACCGACCGGAGAGCCAAACCCTGAGAAACCAGCAGACAAGTCACCAGAAGTCACCAGCCCCAAAGAGCCAAGGACTGCATCGATTCCCCTTGGTTCAAACAGTGAACCACTGGGGAGCCGTCCAAATGGAGCTGGATCATCGATCTGCAAGCGATGCAAACCCTCGGAAGTGAAAGCCACACAGACGCAAACTCCCACACCATGCTGTGAGCCCGATGGAAGGATGGACCTCACCGACCCTAGCTGGCCTGGGGAGCACTGGTCACAAAGCCCCCAGCCGAGAGACGACACTGAACCCCGAAAAACCCGAAGAGGAAGCCCGGGAAGCAGCAGCCGATGCAAGGCCCCCGGGGTCCGAACTCGGCAATCATGAGAGCGGTGGAAGGGATGTCCCCGAAGGAAACAGAACAGCCACCGAAGCCAGATCCAACCCAACAGGTAGACCAGCCCGGCGAAGTTCAGACTCCCGCACAGCTACTCGAACAACCGACAAATGACTCGGGTGGCCTCCAAAAAAACAGCCGAAGTAATGCCACTGCAGGGAGAGACAAAAAAGTGGTCTGAGAGTCCCACAAAAGACCCAGTCAAGTCCAAACCTGAGAGGGAACCAAATGGCACTTCCTCCAGTTCATCAAGAACCTGAACCTGGCAAGCTGGAAAGAACCAAATCCCTGGCAAGCAGACATGTTGACCGGCAGGAGGCCCAAACCAGCCAGTCGTCAAGGTAGGTCAGAACCCGAACCCTTAGCAGAGGCAAACAGGCAACCACGACCCGGGTAAGGCGTGTGAAAACCTGAGGAGCCAGTTTCAAGCCGAATGGAAGACAACAAAAGCAGTACGCATGCCGCCCCATGGAAAAACAGAGCCAGTCCCTGAACCCCGGATGAATCAGGACATGCCAATACTTGTCCCGGAGGTCTAGAGAGACACCATCCAAGCATACGGCTCCAAAAGAAGCCAGACTTGGGACAGAGTGGTCATCCGAAAGGAGGGGGCAAAGGACCCAGGGGTTGAAACGGGACAAGTCCAGAATGAACCTCAGATCCAAATAGTCCCGTTTTGGCCCTGGAAACTGACATCCCACCTGAGGGATGTCTCCGTGTCGACCACACCCAAGCGTACCCACTCCAAGATGATTTAACAGCGCAGGAGAAGAGGTCTGCACCACCAGCCCGGATCCTCCCTGGAGGAGGAGGAGCTACTCAACACCACTGGAGGGCGGAAAAAATTACCTGAAACACCCTCAAATTGTGAGACCAGGCATGGGCAAACAGAGCGAGCCTCCCCTCCATCACCCCCTCAACGGGACAAACCGCAAAAGGGCTGATGACCCTTACGTGAAACCAAACGACACGCAAAGCAAGCACTGCGCCAACCAGACGCTGTCAGCTCTGGCTGGCCCACCTCAACTGGAAGAACCCTGAACCCTGACACGATCCTTCCGGGCAGGACCATCACGGCCCCCCTGGATAACCAACAAGTCCGACATGGGATAGCAACTAGTCAAAGCCACCTGCAGATACTGCACAACTGCAAACTCTACAAACAGTAATGGACAAAAAGGGGACGAAAATCTAAGAGCCAGGGCCCAAGCAGATTCCAAAGAGTAAGCGAGCACCGCCTGTCAACACATGGGGCAAGAAGAAAAGAACAAAGACACTGCTTCCTTAATCCTTAAACTGCTACAGCATAAGGAGCATAAACCGTAAAAATATTCAAATTATGTGAAAATTACTTATAAATGTTAAGCAAATCTCCAACTTATTGGCTTCAGCATTGTGAAAATTTCATAAAAATATTTTTAGAAATTGATTTTAAACAAATTTTTTAAACAGAAGAAAGTTTTGTTGAGGCGAACAGCTCCTATTAACTGGAACCGATGGATAATGCAGTACTAGTAACAAAGAAATGCAAGCACCTGTCCAATGCACAAATAAGTAAAAAAAAGTGTCCACAAAGTAGATATGCAGTTGGTGCCTTTATAGCATTGCTGAGTAATACATAACACAATAATGAGTATTACATGTTACAGGGGCCCATTACATGTGCTGCAAAGATGATCATTGATGCAGTAAGGCATTGGTGACAGCAGAACCTTATGGAACACCAAAATTAATGGAAAGAGACAGAAGTTGAACCACACACAATAGAAGTGACAGAATTATCAGCTAAACCTGGACATCAATATGCAAGGAGAAGGTAGATCATACAGGAGCTGGAGATACACAACACCACCAGCAAAACAGGCCTCGTAGAAATCACTGGTGGTCAAAGAGACGAGTGCAGTACTCAAGTTGATTGAGACTTTTTCCCTTGAAGATAGTGTCTCACTTTTGACACAGCAGAATTGATAACAGGCTGCAAGTTAAGCGGGGTTAGAATGATCACCCTTTTTCAAGATGGATTGAACTAGAGCACATTACCAAGAGGATGGGAAAGTTTAACCCCCTGCACTTTGCATAGTGCCTTAACTACTGTGCTGCGCCAACCGAGAAATCTCGTTCCGAGAGTTGTACTATTTTTTTTTAATTAGGCTATATTTTAATGTTTTTTAATGTTGTCATCACCCTTTGTGTTTTGAAATATAAATGGTTGAGTTTGGAAACATTTTGACATTAACTTTACCTGAATATTTATAAAAACAACAAATATATGTCCTTAACAATTGCACTATGAAGTTTTTTCCAGAAACAGGTGCGCAGTGCAGGGGTTAAGGCATTTCTTAAGCATAGGGAGCAATTCAAAACTCCCACATATCATAAGTCAACTCTCATATCGGGACCGGTTGAGGGCCACAGGACTAACACTGCAAACCAGAAATGACAAGAGCAGATCTCATTGAAAATTTTAAAATACTGAAGAATTTTGAGGAAGTTGATCCAGACAATTTCATCAAAAGGTCAGATGCAAAACAAACAAAGAGCAGCGGTTTTAAGCTCAACAAGCCACACTGTAGGACGGAGACCAGAAGCTGCTTTTTCACCCAGGGTTATACAATTTATAATGGTTATAAAGCCATGGAACTGCCTACCTATCAAAGCCATAAATGCTAAAACTGTTAAATTTTAAAGTAAAACTGCAATAGATCAAGGCAAATGGGGAGACCTTCGACAAGCCACCCGATACCTGTCCTCGTCGAGATTACTAGTTAGCGCCCCTCGGGTAAAAATTTGGGTAAATAAGCACTGCTAGGAATTTCCAAGCAGAATAAACAATTCTTGAAAATAAAAATAACTAGTTTACATCATTTGGAATAAGCACCTTCCCAACAAAAGGTAGATAATTTACTCAGCTGATAGAAAACATAAGTCAAGATACTAATTTATTTAACCATATAAAAAATTTCAAAATTGGGTCTAATTTCATTTTACAAAGAAGCTAACTTATCCTTGATCAATTCTAGCTTTATTATATCACTGGCATAAAAAACATTTAAATTCAGACAGACTACATACCTGAAAAGAACCCTCCATAGAGCCTATCAAGGCAATACTCCCCATCTACGACAAGAGTGAGTGGTGTGTGACCATATCCACCTCTTGGAGCATTGCGCTGGTTACGTCGGATCCCAACACTCTTGGCAATCTTCAGCAGATCCACAGGGACACACGCACCTGGTACTTGTGACTCTAAAAATCGTTGCAGGTCTTGAATAACCATCTTCATAGGATTTACAAATGATTTAGATATGCTTGATTAAAAAAGGTAATGTTGTTATTATAAAATGATATGGTTCCAATTGTGTCCTCACATGGCTTCTTTATTGATTCACCAAGTTGTTTGTTAATTCCTTTTTTCTTTGTTAACTCATCTTCTTTGCAGCAACACCTGAAAGAATTAATAAAAAATGGTATTGAATTCTCTATGTACTGTAATTTGAATTGTACTTACAAAAGCAAACCAAAAATACAAAAATATGAATAAAAATAATCACCATTTAATTACATTACCCATGAACTCGGAAATCATTTTAATGCAAGTGCATATAAACTTCACCACAATTTGATCAGCCTATAAAAAATATTTGTGGAGAGACTTTTAAACATATGACCATGAACTGACATGCAGCTCCTTCAACTCAAAAGACTTTTATACTTAAAATCTTGTAACACGTGAATCTCACGGAAGCATGAACGGTTATTGCAGGCAACTCGGCCATTACAGCAAGCTCATTCTATGGCAGGTCAAGCAGTGCCCAACACCCTACCCCTTTCAAGTTCACTTGAAGTTGGTTTGTATCTTCAACGTTACCCAAAAATCCAAATTTCAGATCAATCTGACTTTCCAAAAGTTACGACCCTTCACTATTTTGGGGGGTATCAAGAACACCCTATTTTCAAATTCATCTATCTTGGCTCCTAGTTGAATTAGAAGAGTAATTCAAAGTGCATTCAAAAGGTAATCTTTTAGATATTAAGTTGATACTCTGTGAGGAGAACTTAAAATTTATGTAAAAAAGTTATGGCAACTTCTTTTTAAGGGGGTTCAACCTTCCAGGTTAATCAATATTTTCAAAGAAAACTAAATCTTCACGATTGAATCAATTTATAAAATTGTACTCATTTTTATATTGCCCACCACAATAGTAAATAATTTTTTTCACATTAGGAAACCTTTCTTTTTTGTCTTTAAATAGTCTGTAGTTTTCAAAAGTATAAACAGCTCAAGCTGACCATTCAAGATAATTGCTGATACAATTACTATTAAGCATCAAGTCTCCAACCTTCTTATACTCCACTACATGTGGCAGTAGTCTTGCCTGGTCACTTGTCCAATGATAACTCTGTGGGGCATCTTATGTGACGAAGGAGTTTCTGAAAAATCCCCAAGAACAGCCACTTCATTGGCTCTTGTAATATATTTATAACACGAGGTGCAAAAATGCCATCTGAAATATTTAAATGAAATCATCAATTGTTGCTGCATGCATTTCCAGAGTTGGTTGATTAGTAGTTCATTAAACATTGTACAGTATCTACATTGCATTAAAAAATATAGCTGAAGTTACCCAGTAAATGAGGCCTATTCTTTGTACTCCTTTTAATCAGTATACCTGGATATATTTTGTGTATACAGTATCAGTATATTTTGACACTGACACCTATTTTCCTGCACATATCTGACTTAATTTATTGTCCTCATAGAAAGCTACTATTTGTGATGATTTGTTAACTTGTTAAATTTGTTAACTTTTTCAGTCTACTTGTTGATATTCAAATCAATATTTGCAAGGTTTACAACCAAATACTCATGAATTTCTAGACTGCCACTTGTATACAAGTGGTTAGTCTAGACTGCCACCATGTATATGTAAATCCTATATGTAAATTTTATAAATATTAATTAACCTTGGGAGTTAAACCTGCCTTAAAAATTAAAACTGCCATAACCTTTTATATTTAATACTTTATTTGAAAGATTAGTTTTTGAATGCACTTTGAACTGTCCTTTTAACTCACTTAGGAGCTAAAAGAAATTAATTTGAAAACAGTATGTTCACGAGATCCAAAAACACAGGGGGTCATAACTTTTGAATCAAAAGTTGGATTTACCTGAAATTTGGATTTCTGGGTACAAAGACAGACCAACTTACAGACAACTGAAAGGTGTGTGGTGTTAATTTCACCTTTACCCGGGAAGACCCCCATGGCTCCCTGAAGCTATCTCACCAAGATGGCTCCATTCTAATGGGTCACAACAGTTGCAGTTCTCTTTGGCAACCCGGGGCAAAGGATCCAGAACCTAACCCTTCCCCCCTCTTAGAGGCGCAAAGATTAAGTGACAATCTGCCACCCCCCAACAGGAAAACCATCAAGAAAATCAACGAAACTTTACAGACAACTGCAAGATTCACAAAAAGCGAAGCACTGGGATTGCCTCCACAAATGATTCAAGCGAAACAATAGGTTCCCTTAAAGCTAGCAAGAGCCCATTAGTACTGACAGCTCCCACCAAGCAGCTTGCCCCCCCCCCCCTATCATCAGCCAGCTGGCAAGGAAATTACAATTACAAGGAATAAATGCTTAAGTACTACAATGGGTAAAACAATGGTTAAAAGAAAGAAAGTCTCCGTGGTGTAGTGGTAAGACACTCGCCTGGCGTTCCGCGAGCGCTATGTCATGGGTTCGTATCCTGGCCGGGGAGGATTTACTGGGCGCAATTCCTTAACTGTAGCCTCTGTTTAACGCAACAGTAAAATGTGTACTTGGATGAAAAAACGATTCTTCGCGGCGGGGGATCGTATTCCAGGGACCTGCCCGAAACGCTACGCGTACTAGTGGCTGTACAAGAATGTAACAACTCTTGTATACATCTCAAAAAAAAAAAAAAAAAGCAGAATTTACCTATATGGAAATGAATCTGACTGGAGAAATGTGGTGCATGGGGTACCATACCATAAGGGCTCATCTTACTACCAACCCTTTATTCATTAACATCAATGACAAACATAAGGATATTACAAACATTATTTCACTTTCTTTTATCTTGTACCTTTTCATATTTAATGCCTCTAACCTCTCCTTGGAGCTTTTATTTTTCAGTTCCAGAGGCAGTTTAGTTGCATGTATTTGCAACTTTTCCAGTTTGTTGAAGTGCTTGAGACATGGGCACCATACAACCGCTGCGTATTCTAATTTTGGTCTCACGAAAGTCGTGAATAATTTTTTTAATATTTCACCATCCATGTATTTAAATGAAATTTTGAAATGGGATAATGTAGCATAGGCTCTTCGCACTGTTCTTTATGTGGTCCTCGGGTGACAGTTTTCTATCTAGAACCACCCCTAGATTTCTTTCCTTATCAAAATTTTTTAAAGCTTTTTTTTAACAATTTGTAGGTTGTGTGGCCTATTTTCTCTAATTCCATATTTCATAATATGGCATTTATTCACATCAAATTCAATTTACCAAATGTTGGTCCATATCCTTATTTTGTCTTGGACTTTAAGAAGGGAATAACAGAGAAGAGCAGAGGTGCCATAGGCACAATCAGAGAACACTGTATAAACATCAGAGGTCCACGGTTGTTCAACGTGCTCCCAGCGAGCATAAGAAATATTGCCGGAACAACCGTGGACATTTTCAAGAGGAAACTAGATTTATTCCTCCAAGGAGTGCCGGACCAACCGGACTGTGGTGGGTATGTGGGCCTGCGGGCCGCTCCAAGCAACAGCCTGGTGGACCAAACTCTCAAGTCAAGCCTGGCCTTGGGCCGGGCTTGGGGTTCTGGGAGTTCTTCTACTCCCCATCAACCAGGTATCAACCAGGTATCAACAATCATAGAAGAGCTATCTTCCCTAGTATCTTAACACCATTAGCAAACATGTTCATATAATTCTGTCATCCTTCTAGTAGATCGTTTACGTAAACAATAAACATTAACCAGTGCAAGAACTGCACCCTGTGGTACTCCACTCCGGAGCAGTTCTCCAGTATATAGTGCCTCCGATTACTGCCATCATTATTCTGTAAGAAAAGTTTTTCACCCATGTTAGAAGCCTGCCAGCCACTCCTCCAGCATGTCCCAGTTTCCAGAACCTCTTATGTAGGACTCTCAAAAGCATTTTTTTAGGTTCAAGATACATGTACATGCAGTCAACCCAACCATCTCGTTCCTGTAAAATCTCTCTGGGTAAATCATCGAAGCAAAGATTTGTTACACAGGTTCTTCCAAATCGAAAAGCATATTGTGTCCGTTATATCATATTTCCCCTGGTGCTCTACCCATTTGATTTGAATAATTTTTTCAAATATTTTGACTACAACAAATCTGACAACAATGACAACACAAGTGACAACACCTGTCAACGACATAGGCCTATAATTAAAAGGGTTCTCCCTGCCTCCACTTTTGTAGATTGGAACTATGTTAGCCTTTCTATGTTAGTACATCTGCAGTGTGCACTGTGCCTGCCCGGGTGCACTGTGCCTGCCCGGGTGCACTGTGCCTGCCCGGGTGCACTGTGCCTGCCCGGGTGCACTGTGCCTGCCCGGGTGCTCTGTGCCTGCCCGGGTGCTCTGTGCCTGCCCGGGTGCTCTGTGCCTGCCCGGGTGCACTGTGCCTGCCCGGGTGCACTGTGCCTGCCCGGGTGCACTGTGCCTGCCCGGGTGCACTGTGCCTGCCCGGGTGCACTGTGCCTGCCCGGGTGCACTGTGCCTGCCCGGGTGCACTGTGCCTGCCCGGGTGCACTGTGCCTGCCCGGGTGCACTGTGCCTGCCCGGGTGCACTGTGCCTGCCCGGGTGCACTGTGCCTGCCCGGGTGCACTGTGCCTGCCCGGGTGCACTGTGCCTGCCGGGGTGCACTGTGCCTGCCGGGGTGCACTGTGCCTGCCGGGGTGCACTGTGCCTGCCGGGGTGCACTGTGCCTGCCGGGGTGCACTGTGCCTGCCGGGGTGCACTGTGCCTGCCGGGGTGCACTGTGCCTGCACGGGTGCACTGTGCCTGCACGGGTGCACTGTGCCTGCCGGGGTGCACTGTGCCTGCCGGGGTGCACTGTGCCTGCACGGGTGCACTGTGCCTGCCGGGGTGCACTGTGCCTGCACGGGTGCACTGTGCCTGCCGGGGTGCACTGTGCCTGCACGGGTGCACTGTGCCTGCCGGGGTGCACTGTGCCTGCATGGGTGCACTGTGCCTGCACGGGTGCACTGTGCCTGCCGGGGTGCACTGTGCCTGCCGGGGTGCACTGTGCCTGCCGGGGTGCACTGTGCCTGCCA